TCAACACACATCCCTGAGGAGAGCCAGTGCTGAGGGTTGTGGTGGAGGAGGAGAAGTTGTGGATCCTCACTAACTGTGGTCTGTTTGTTAAAAAGTCTAGTACCCAGTTGCAAATGGAGGGGCTTAGTCCTAGTGTGGACAGTTTGTCCATCAGGGTTTGGGGGATCATGGTGTTGAAGGAAGATGTGAAGTCCACAAAGAGCATACAGACGTACGTAAAGTTGTGGAGCAAATGAAGGTTTGAGGCAGCTGGGGTTAAAACTAATCACTGAGAGACAAGTTCCAAAAGCAGCTAGATAAATTGCATTTCCTGCAAAAACACAGTCTGAATGCTTATTGCAGAAGAACTTACTGAGAAACAGCTGAAATTACCTAAAAACATGCTGAAATGGAAGAACAGGTCTAAATTAGCAAAAGAACGGAGAAAGAATACACATTTACTGAAATAGGTTTAAATAAACCGAAATTAGCACAAAAATGAGGAATGTAGCTAAAAAATGCTGAAATAAGCAACAAAAAAATGTCTGAAAAGTAGCTGAAGGGCAGAAAGAAGCATAAACTACCAGAAGGAAGTGGAAAGAGCTGAATTGAGCACAAAAAAAGTGGAATTGTTAGAAGAAGCTAGAATTAGCATAAAAACAGCTAAAAAGTAGCTGAAATGTCAGAAATGGCTGAAACTAGCATAATTAAGCTGAAAGGAGCATAAGCTGAAATTAACATAAAGAAGTTAATTGGGCTGAAAGTAGCAGAAATTACCATGAAAATTTTGAATTTATCTGAAAACAGCTGAAATTAGCTACAAAAAAATCTAGCTGAAAATCTAGAACAAGCTTAAAATAGCAGAAGAAAACAGAAAGAACATGTTTGCTCAATTAGGCTGAAAGAAGCAGAAATGAGCACAAAATGAAAAAGGCTGAAATTAGCCACACACACAAAAAACAGCTGAAAACTAGCTAAAACAGCAGAACCACAAATTACCAGAAGGAAGTGGAGAGAGCACATTTTTGTTGAATTGGGTAGATAAAAGTTTAAATGAGTGCAAAAAATGTGTAATTAGCTGAAAAAGCTACAGTTAGCATAAAACTGCTAATTAGTAGCTGAAATAGTTGAACATGCTGAAACTTGCAGAAAGAAGTTAGAAGAAACACAAAAATGTTGTAGTTAGCAGAAACAATCTGAAAGGAGCACAAAACAGCTAAAAAAAAGTTTAAATTTGCACAAGAAAGCTGAAAGAAGCTGAAGCAGAACAAAATGTGAACGGAGCAGTAAAAGGTTGAAACAGATCTAAAGATATGAAGGATGTAAAATGAGCTCAATTCATTTTCAATGAGGGAAAAAAAGTGTCAGAAAAGGCTAAATATTTCAAAAAGCTAAAGTTGGATCAATACCAAAAGTCATAGCAGGATTGTCATGAAAGAGCTGAACGTTTTGAAATATGATTTGTTGAAATAGCTTCAACTGCATGACGAGAATCACGGTGAAAACGTACGGAAGGAAAATGCATCACGGTAGTGTGAATGCTTCATAAACAATCACACAGTTGAGGATCAATAGGGAAAAAGCTGATGACTCATCATTTACACACACTGTAGTTGTTGTCTTTATTAGCAGTAAGGACATCCTCTTTAAAGTCTGAGCTTTTAAAATCAGGAAGAAAAACATACATCTAGGCCTTCAATTATCCTAAAGGGATATTTGAACCATTTTGAAGTAGTGTTCTGTAGAAAAGTTAGGAACAATTTTAATATCTTACCTGTTGTAGATGGCTCTTTGTAAAGTCTAATTTAGGAGAAATAGTGAAATAGTGACGAGACTGATGAGCGGACAACTAGTCTGAACGCAGCCACGGCTGAAGTGACATGTAGCGTCTTAAAACGGTTTATATCTCCAAAACTTGTTTATTTACATTTTTTTTATGTTTAAATCTTTACATTGCGTTCAGTTTCACATTATACATTTATTTACATGGACTTCTTTGCTTCTTTTTTTTTTTTTTCTTCAAATTGCAGCTAGCTTTAACGTTTTTAGCAGAACAAAATATTTCTGCTGACGTAGCTGTGAATGCAAAAGTGTTGGTTACAAAAATATTTAAATAGGTGTTTGCTCCACTCTTCCTCGATTTATGGGTGACGTCTGCTTCTCTAAGGTCGTTGCTGTTGTCTTTCCATCTTGGCGTCGTGTTCACGCACATTTTGAAGGCTCCAGAGCAGCAAACTGATAAAACTCCTGTCTTTTATAGAGCTGGTCACACTGATGATGATCATTCAATCAGTTCAGTTACTGGTTAACGTCAGGATGATATGCACAATGGGAGCATTAAGGGACGACGGTTAAAAAACTGCATTTAGATTTAGTTATAAATTAATGACAGTGTAAGATGCTATGTTGCGTACAGAATTGCAGTGTAGAGTGTTTTGTTTTTTAAAACAGTTTATTAAGTCAGTCATCACTCCTGCTAGGCTAAACTGTAATTATGGCATGATTTTGTGTTTCTGTTGCAGAGGGACGACTTTGATGTGGTGGCTTAAGTCTGGAGGAAAAGATGAGAACCTGCTGTGGGACGAGTACAACTCAGGAGTCTCCTGTTTGAAACTGCCATCAGATCTGAGAAAAAGACACTTTCACATTCTTATAAGTTAAAAACCCTGTTTATCTTTGTGCAACATAACATTGTGAATATATTGTATATGCTTGAATAAATCATAAAACACAGGAAGAGTTTTAATTGAGGGAAATAAATCTGATTTGGCAGTAGATGTTTTTCCTTCTGCAGCAGAAGTCATCGTTTCACGCTGCCTGCCAGTATTTTTATACTAACATGCAGTATAATGTATATTTTGTACATGTCGGTGTATTTACACTTCACGTTGCGTACAAGGAGCAGCATACTTGCAGATGCAGAAAAATTAATGTCTAGTATGTTCAAGAAGGGGAATAAAACCACACAAAGTTCGCAGAAATAACTTGAAACAGGCAAAAGATTTATATTTTTATTACAAAAATCAACTAATGAAAATCAATCGTAGCTTCTCAGTTTAACAGATGTATTATTATTATTATTATTAAAACAAGTTCTTTCTTTCAATTTTACCCCATTCAAGACTTAGCCAGACAATATGATTTAAAGTGCAGGAGAAGGGTCAGATCCAGGAGGAACGATGGGTTCTGTCCTGACCATGGTCCACTGGACCAGCTCTTTAATCCCAGAGTCCTCGAGGGGTGGGGGTAGGGGGTACGGGGGTTTGTCCAACCAGTCTACATGTGTTTTGTGGACTTGAAGGCATTCAAGTGTCTTCCGTGGGGTACACTGTGGGGGTGCTGTGCGAGTATGGGATTGTGGGTCTACGGGTCTTTCAGTTCTGATACAAGAGGTGTGAGAGTGGTTTGTATTGCCGGCAGTAAATCGAACCCCTTCAGAAAGAGGCGCTGACAATTTAAACCAAATAATCATGGACAAAGAGTGCTCTTTTCAAGGTTTCATATTTGTGCAAACAGAACAAAACTGTCCACTAAAGTCTACAAATCCAGAGTTACGCAGTTCTCCTTGTATCTGACCTGTGCAGTGGGTCCAAACTAAAACCAGCTGGGGAACATTTGAATGGCAAGCCAGGCTCTGCGTCTTACCGTCACGGTAAATACTGGACTGAAAGGTTCCTTGTTGGCAACAAAAGCAGAGATCCACAGCTCCTGACCAAAACAAAGCTGTTTTTAATTCAACAAGAAACTGCCACCTCTCGTGCATCACGCACTAAAGTAAGAACCAAATTTGGACCTTCAGCTCAAAAACTATAATAATTAGACTGTTAACCAAAAATTACTAATTTATATGGAGGAATATATAAGTGGGTATTTTCAAACAAACAAACTCAACAACAATAATAAAAAATGCTGCTCACTGGCCTTACCTCCATGTTCTCAGGGTCATTCTCATCCCGTCAGTCTTTGAACATTGTTTTATTATTTTTTCTTCTTCTGTTTCAATCTATCTCAACTTAAATTTCAATATGCTTATTCTACACAAGTGTTTATGTGGAGAATAATGCAAAATATTTTCTCAATGCTTTGATTTGATTATAAAAGACTTGTGTATAACTTTTTTCCAATTGACATATCTCATCTTTTCATATCCTGTTTCTCTCCCATCTGCATGGACGCTAACAAGGGGGTCCCAAAGGGGCAATCACCCCCCCCCCCCCACACACACACACCAAAAGCTTCAATATATTGTTAGTGCTTTTCTCAATAAGTAATATCAGCTGTAGATAATAAATCTAAAGTAGATCTGTGTTTAAGAAAGTGATTAATTTCAAAGATGAGATAAATTATAACATATCCTGAAATTCTGTTTGGCCTCTAGGTTTTTGTGTGCCACTCCAGGATTTTCAGTGGCTCCCACATGTCCACCCAAATAAAAAAAAAAAAATATCTGGAGATACTGCTGCTCATTTGTGGGCTGGATGTCTCCTTCCTACCTGCTCTTCTTTCAGTACGGAGACGACGAGCAGCAGTCCGTCCACCACTCGGGCGATCATGGTGAAGAGGATCATCCTGAAGGAGCAGAGCAACCAGCAGCTGCCAGTTCAACACTTGACAAACCATTTATTTAGGCTGTTTTTTTCACATCAAAATGGGGGCGGGGTTAAATGACTAATGGGCGTGGTCTTTAGTACCAAGCTTGGTAGATTTGATCAACTTGTGTAAAATGATTGGCAAAATCAATTAACCCTTTACTGAATGATGGTACCATAAGACAACATACACATTTTTTCCATTTAACAGTTTTTAGTATTTAATAAATTAAGAACTGAAACTCTGATTGGCCTTCGTAATGAAGGTGGACCACAGTTTTAATTAAATTGATGCTTGGAATGACTCAATGAACATGTAAACCTACAGACATTCTGATTGCTTCCCACACTTTTAATGAGTCATATACAGAAAAGCTCCTCAACACACACTGAGTTTTCCCAATTTAACATTTAAAAATAGTATGACTGATCTAGTTGTACCATCATTTGTTTTAATTATCTTTTTTGCACAAATGCAATGCACCAAATATATACCCAATATATAAATAAAATTAATCCATTTAAACTCAATAAAATACATTTTGATTTTTTAAAGCTCTAAGTTTATTTTACATAAACACAATTTTTTGCCATGTTGAAAAATGTGTGGAGTTAAAATTGGTAGAAGCAAACACTGCCATCTTCTGGAAGATTCAAAGAACTACAACTAATCTGAAAATGATTTGTTTAGAACAAAAATACTTTCAACTCATTTACACTTAAATATATGTTTTTGTACATTTGTATATTATTACTAGACAGTCCCCTAAGATAAATAAACCCAAACGTAACATGGTGTCTATATGCATTGTTGAAAAATATCTTTATTTACACGGGTAATCTCAAAATAGAGTGTAGTTAATCTGAGTAGAATATCAAAAACACGTTTAAGTTTTCACAGATGTGTTGTTCGTTGATTTTGTTCACGTTATTTGTATTAGTTTTACTCGTATCCAGCCACTAAAGTTTATTTTTGATAACTTTTACCCAAATTAGCGCCAGAGCTAGCAGGATCAACTAACAACAATCTCGCAAGAAACTGTAATCCAATCACATAGATATAAACACTAGATGCCTCACTGGCTGCTGCGGCGCAGGATTTACGGCCGCCATCTTGGAACGGTCGTCCTTCTTTGGTTAAAGCAGATGTTTCAGCACTTCGCAGCTTATTTCTGTTCTAACTGACGGACTGTTGACGTCAGGTCTCGGGGGATAACTTTTCACAGTAAGATGAACATAGTATTGTTAGTATTTTGTGAATATAATATTACTGTACTGTATTTATGTCCACCAGCTGATGTTATGTTCAGTGTAACACGGTGTTCAGCTGCAATGAAGCTGACTGAGATCTGATGACAGGAATATTTTTCTAACAAGCATACTCACTATTTCAGTAACTTTGGTTCATTATCAAGAGATATGTATCATAATTGGAGTTTTGTTTAAGTTCTAGGAAATTAAAAAAATAAAACTAGGGAGAATATAGGAAATAGAAAATAAGCTTGACCTCCTCTGTACAATGTTTTTGTGTTGACACAAATCTCCTGTTTTCATTTTGAAGGTTTCCCAAAGAACAAGATGTGAGGAAGAGGAGGAAGTATCTTTGAGGAGGATTCATCTGAGCAGAGAGGATTTTAAACTGGAGGATTTTGATCAAACTCATCAGACTGTCCGACTGAGAGATGGTGTGGTACCATCGGTTCACCTTCAAAGAGTAGGAGCATCATTATAAGTTCATTAGAGTTCATAAATTTACATATTTTATTGTCAGTCACAAGGTGAGACACCTCCATGTGTTTATATGAACAGGTAACTAGAGACTGTAAAGTTCATATTCATGATGTTTTTTCATTTCAGTTTGAAAACTGCAGGACTACAGGAACTCAACAAAAGCTGGAGCTGCTCTGTCTGTGGCCTCTCAGGAACGTGCACGTCACACACACACTCTCAGGAACGTGCACGCCTCACACACAACCTCGGCCTCATGATGTGAGTATTTCTATTTTAAATTTTATTTTTTTCATTTACCCTTTATTTATCTAGGTAGTCTCATTGAGTCACGAGAACTCATTTACAAGAGAGACCTGTTTAGGAGCAGATGGTGAGGGTTAAGGGCCTTGCTCAGGGGACCAGGGTGGGGCCAATGAGGGTGGAGGCAGGTGTGGGTGTTTCACCTTTTCCATTCACATTTTGATGTTGATGGTACCGGGAGTTGAACCTGCGACTTTCCCATCACAGACCCATCTTGTAACCTCTGCTCCCCCACATAACATCATATCATGATGGTCATGATCATATTAAAATCTCACTGGTTTCCTTCCAGATGTGTTAAACAGCTACTGGTCCCCCTGATGTTTCCAGGTGGCTGTGGTCAGTGGATGAAAAGCCTGGCATGAACAAGATGATGCTGGAGATCATTTGACGAGAGCTCACACCTTCTAACTGTGAAGAACAAGAGCAGCTCAGTGATTCCCTCAAGGCTCAGTGAAGGTGCTGAGAGCTGCAGAGAGGCTGATCCATGGAGCTTCAACACAGCAACCTCCAAACATGTCCACCCTCACACACATCGTCAGTGAAGACACTGGACCAGAGCACAAGATAATAAGACAGTGATAACAACAACGACAACAATACACATTCACTAATGATTCATACAAATTTTTTATTTTGTTTGTTTTGTTTTACAATTGAAAAACAGTTTGTTATCCACTGTTGTCATCACTCTTTGTTAAAATCCAGGTCTCTCTTGTAAATGAGTCCTATTGGCTCAATGGGACTAACCTGTATCAATAAACGTTGAATGAATATAAATATATACATAATGATTTATTCAACCTTTTATTTATACAGGTTGGCTTCATTGAGCCTAAAGGAAGGAAGGAAGGAAGGAAGGAAGGAAGGAAGGAAGGAAGGAAGGAAGG